CTAGAATACTGAAACTATTTCTTCCATTAGTGCATGGGGGTTAACATTTTTATAGAGGGGTTTACTTGAAATATAAAATATGCCAGTCCTAAGATTAACATTAGCCAGAAAGGTAGATTAGGCAAAAAGAGCTAAAATTTTAAGGAAACATTATACAGTAATGCGTTAATTTCATTATCATTAACTATACCATAAAAAACTTTGAAAAAGAGAAAGTCTCTATGGCCTGAAGCAAGTTTGTAAAATAGTTTTGAAAACCTTAAATTTTTGGATGATTCTTCAAAATCTAGAGTGTAGCCCCTAAACTTATGGGGGCTACCCTTTTTGTGTACTTCCAACTGATATTTATAAAATTGTCAGGCCATTTGTGGCCCTGGTTATATGGATTACTGTTGAGTTGTTGGAAGTGTTCCCGCGTGTATGTATTTGAATAAAGACAAACACAGTTGTAGGGATAAATACTGGTATATTTGTAAGAGGTAATAACAACAGAGTGATTAGTAATAAGGAACGCCGGTTAGTAAGTAACAATAGCAAAAGTCTACAGTCCAACGGTAGGTAATGGTAACCTGATCCTTCACACTACACCTTCACACTCCTCTACTACTCTATCTCTGACTTATATCGTAGAGGGATAAGTCCATTATCAGTCAGAAGGTGGGTGCGCCCCAACAATTACTTAGAATCCCTGAGGACAGTAGTATGCCTTTTGTCTATGATTGGGTCCATCCAACATAATTTGGCCAAATGGTTGGCTGAATTACACAACCTATATTAGACATGTCATGCCTCTTATATTTTTTCTATACAAACCGAATGTTTGACTACTTGACAACCCAAAGCAGACTGTTAATACGTTTTTTGTGTATAGGCTCCACGCATACATTCACTTTAACCAAAATAAACAAACAATTTATTGACCAATTAGAGCTACTCTTGCTCCAAAAACCGAAATTTTAATTCAGAACCAAACAATGGCTATATATTCTCTAACTCAAACAAACTCAGCATAAACCAACTTGGATATCAACCTTTCAATCTGAGAGAGAAACAACCACTAGCAATATCCATGTCACTTCTAATTTCACCATTCTCTCTATGAGTTGCCTTAGCAACAGATAAAAATTACTAGTTTTGTATATATGTAAATATACATTTATTTGCCCATGCTCAAATGTATCATTTTACCTGAATCTACTTTTGCCAAGGTGGAAAAGGAATTAACCTCCACAACAACAACAAGGTTCTGTCTTCCAGGTTTACCTATTTCCACCTCCACAACAACAACAACAAGACCATTTCCACCCTCCAAACAAAATTCTGTCTTCCAATTTCCACCTCCACAAAACAACAACAAGGTTTTTTTTTATATTTCCACCTCCACAACAACAACAAGGTTCTGTCTTCCAGGTTTACCTATTTCCACCTCCACAACAACAACAAGGTTCTGTCTTCCAGGTTTACCTATTTCCACCTCCACAACAGACATTTGCACAGAAAAATGAATTAAAGGTTTTTATTTTTTTATACTTGCCAATTACATACAAAATTGTCCATTTAGTTCTGATGACAAATTTATGTATTTTTTTGTCATCAGCTGTTTATTTACTTGTTTCACTTTAAGAAACTGTATATTTTTGATTAGTATTGCAATGATATTTTCATGTATTCCAAAAATGTTAGCTACCATGCCTGAATTCAGTTTCATTTAATATGATGTACAGGCAGATTGATGGGATTACAATGGGTAGCCCTTTAGGTCCTTCAATGGCAAAACATATCTGTAGGGTTTTACAAGCAAAGGCTGTTTGTACCAGGTAAACCAACTATTATATTCATTTTGTGTATTTAATAGAGAGCTGGAGTCAGGTGTTTCTTGAAGCCCTAAATGAACTGCATCAAGCTGTTTCACTTGTGAAAAGGAGAATTTGGATATGTCAGTAGAAAAACTAATTACATAAATATTCCACTACCTTCCTTTTATTGGATTATATACACACTGGGACTTATTTCATCTTAAGCAATGTAAAATTAATCTTAAGACTTTAGTACATCGTGACTAATGATTTGTTCTAAGACTAACTTAGAACAGGAATTAGAATTTATTGATTTGGTGACAATGGTTATATTTTGGATATAATGCAATCCAGCATCCATACAAAGATTACATTGCAAATTAACCAATAGTATTTACTCTCGATAAATGTTCTGTATATTCAAGGTTATCATGGATTGGAAAGGTTG